TGAAGACACATTTATGTATTTTTGCTTTTGATGCCTGTAGTTTGGGTGTCATATCCAAGAAAACTCGGCCAGTCTAATGTCAAGAATGTTTTCTTCTGCTTTTTTTTTGTTTTTGTTTTTGTTTTTTGTTTTTTCTCCGGTACCAGGAACTGAACTCACGACCTTGCGCTTGCCAGGCAGGCGCTTTTGCCGCTGAGCTAAATCCCCAGCCCCTCTTCTGCTTTTTTGTTTTGTTTTATAATTTGGGCCTCACCTAGAAGTCTTTATTGATCCATGCCTTATTTCTGTCAGTAGAGGACAGAAGCTAGAGAGCTATATAGATATCTCCAAAGAAAAAACTTTATGTAGTGCTGCTTTTCGCATTTCTTTTCAGTTCTGGAGGTTGAACCCAGGGTACTCTTGCATGGACCCACAACCCTGCACTTTTTTTGTTGAGACAAAGTCTTGCTAAGGTGTCTAGGCTGGCCTGTAACTGTGACCTTCCTGCCTCAGGTTCCTGAGTAGCTGAGTGTACAGGGTTGTACCATGGTGCCTGGCTTTGTATATGCATGTATTTTCATAAAGTTTTCTTTTCCCCAATACCTATTTTTTGCAGCTGAACTTTTTGTAGGCTATAGCTTCCACCACTGACCTTTATAGCTTTTTTTTTTTTTTTTTTTTCTGAGACAGAGTCTTGCTATGTAGTCCAAGTTGGCTTTGAACTCACTGTGTAGCCCATAACCCAGGCTGGCCTCAAACTTGCAGCATTCCTCTTGCCTCAGCCTCCCAAGTGCTGGGATTACAGGCATACATCATCACACCATATGAATTTTGTTATTTTTAATTTGTGCCCTACTTTCCACAGTAGTAATATCCCACATTTAATAGAGCCATTTCTCTATTTTATTAGTACCTATGTAGCTGGATGACAAAGAAAACTTTCCTTTCTACAGAAATTTCCGTGTAAACCACAAACCTAAAAATAGCAGGGGACACTGACCCTCACTTTCAGAGAGAGCTGTTGGGCTTTGGGGTCTGCTGTCAGAGTGTAGCAAGTCTGTGATTCTCAACCCGTCAGCTACAGTAGCCTCTGTAGGGAGGTCTTGGGGATCATCAGGAAAGATACTTGAAAAGGAAGCTAGTCAGCAGCACTCCCCCAGTGCTCACTCATGCCCTGAATGCAGTGACGTAGCCTTTAATAACTGGAAGCTGCTGTCTTCACGGAGCTTCCAGTGCTCTAACTGCTTCTGGTGCTCTAACTTGTGTCTGTTCCTCTCTTGGACCCTCAGGGAGCTAAACTGTAGGTGAGAGCATCAGGCCTAATCTTTCACTCACCTGGCCAGAGACTGTGTGAAGCTGCCCATTCCCAGCTGAGCAGAGAATGGAGGTGAGGTAGGCCTCTCTGCTGGGCGGGGTGAAGAAGCCCTCATTGGAGAAGGTTACATGGACCCAAAGAGAGTGCTTGTTGTAGTCAGGGTTTGCAAAGGAGACAGTTTAATACAGGACACATAACTTATAGGATTATTTTACAATAATCACCCAAAGAGTCAAATACAAAAGAGTGCAGGAAATCTGTCCACACACTACAGACCCAAAGAATCCAGGTAAGGGCCTGGACCCCAAGGCAATGTCCCGCATGAGTCTAGCTGAAGACCTAGAGTCCAGGACAAGGTCTCATGCAGGTTTGAATCAAGGATCTACACTGGGAAGGACCAAAGGTCGGTGGTGTAAGCTAAAAAGTCTGCACCAGTGGGGTAAAGGATTTGTGCCAGCAGGCTGAGGTATCTGCATTGGAGCCAGGAAATGGTGCTCAAGGTAGGGACCAGACCTCCCCTGAAAAGTACCACAGTCATTCTCAGTGACAATGAGAATAGCCAAGCTCTTATCAGGAAAAGCATAGAAGCTCCTCCAGGAGAACCAGCAGCACCTTCTCTTCTTCTCCAGGTCTCCTTTTATGTTGTTGGCAACAATCCTCAGGTGGGCCCTCCACACCCGGCACCATGCTGATTCAGTTCAGCTGGGTGTTATAAACTGACCACCAGTTTGTCAATCCAGCACAGTGCTCTTTAGGACTTAAAGGACCTTAAGCCAAGAGGGTGCATGGGAGTGGAGAATCCATTAGAAGGAGGCAATAAATATCTTGTTTGGTGAATGTCGGGGTAAGAAGACTGTCCAGAACCCTCAGGTAAGGAGAGAGCATTGCCACCGAGCAAAACAGTACAGTGGTTGGCAAAAATCCCTTCCAGTACCCCAGGATCCCATCTGTGATGAAGGGATAAGGGCAAAGCCAAAAGATAGGAAAAATTAGACAGATAGGGATGGGTCAAGAATTCGTAATCTAAGGTAAACTAAAAGCCAGCGCTTAAGTGAGTTAACATACCAAAGGGCCCAGATTAACTTAAACACACTGACCCTGGGGCCTAATAGAATACAAGGGAGAAAATACAGGTCCTTAACCAAATGGGAGAGACCTCGGAGGAAGTGAAATGCAGAAAAGCAGCTTGCTTTCCAATCATCAAAGGCCTACTAGCGACCAGGAGCACCCCTGCTCTCTGTCACGTACACTGGTCCCCTAAACGCTATAAAAGATCAATGAACTTCAACTCTACGGTTTTTTACCCCTCCTTCTTTTATTCTGTCTAATAAACACGCATTTGGACATTCCCCAGCGCTTGCTGCTTGCTGTTTTGTCGGCTTTCATCTTCGCGGCTCTGAAACGTGGACCTGAGAGCTAGAGAGATCCAGTTACAATGGCACTTCCTCATGGGGCGCTTGGGACGATGGAACACATCCGGTATGCAAAGAGTTCAGCACAGGATTTGGCGCCCAGAGTGGGGTATGTTATTGCACGCTGTCTTTGGCGCCCTCTGGTGGGGAATATTCACACCGCTAGATCTTCAGCGGTCGTCACTCACCTGGAGCGTCCTTGGCCAGAGGCAGCTCGCCCTGGCTGGACACTTCCAGTTCTGTCCTTGGCCACTGCTCTCCAACAGTCCACCACTCCTGGAATCCTCCTGAGCCTCATCTTTGGACACTGTTCGTGGTCAAGTCTTTTTCAGCTCCTCTAGGGCTGTTGAGTTGATGCCAACTCCAGCTTGAAGGATAGTGCCAATTCTCTGCATCCGGCCCTGCAGTAGCTTCCCAGATCTCTCGGGGGCACAAGATCAAGTCCTAGAATGGATGGTGAGGCCTCAAAGAGCCTGGATCCCCACGAACCCCTGACCAGTGAAGGTCAACTACTGATAAAGAAGTTATATCTATACTGAATATGTACAGAGTATTTTCTTGTTATTCACTAAATACTACAGTACAACTCTTTACCTAATATTTGCATTGTATTAGAGAGTACAAGTAATCTGGAGATGTTTTTAAACATACAGGATGTTGTGGATAGGTTAAATGCAAATACTATGCTGTTTTGTATAAGGGACTTACACACCCAGAACTGGTTTAGGGCTGGAGACCTGCAACTCACCCCTGTCTGAAAGGAAAAAATGAGTTCATTTAGTTATATATCTTGTTCAACTTCCCCTCGTTTCCTTGTGAGGTCCATGAGACAGGTGTTTTTGTAATGTGTTTTGTCCTTGCTGTACCCCCGTACTGAGGGTATCTCTAGCATAATGCGCCTCCAGTGAGGACTTTTTTAAAAAAAACAAACCAACTAAACATCCTTGCAAGGATGGATACACTGAACCTCACTTTTGTTTCCATGAAAAATTAAAGTTTACCTTTTATTGTATAATCTTAGTTCTATTGCTCATGCACAGCTCCCTTCCCATTCACCAATTAAATGACAAAACATTGGGCAAGGGATTTTCGGACAAGATGCTGAAAGTACAGAAAAAAAACCCCAAAGCACACAAATGAATGACATTAACTAATCTAACAAGCTTCTGCACAGCCAAGGAAACATGAGTGAAGAGACAGATCACAATATAAGAGAAAATATTTGTAAAGAATACATCTGACAAGGGTTAACATCCAGAATATAGGAAGAATTAAAACCTGAATAGCAAAAAAAAAAAAAAAAAAAAAAAGGAAAAGAATAGCAAAGGCCTTGGTGATAGCCTAAACAGACATTTCTCCAAAGAAGACATACAAATAGCCAACTTGTATTAAAAGAAATGCTCAACTTCAGATGAGAGAAATGTAGCACATTACTGCAATAAGATATGTCACTCAAGATATGTTCCCTAAAAGACAAAAAGTAGTAACAGCTGGTGAGGAAGTGGAGAAAAAGTGTCCCTTGAGCATGTCGGAATGGAAACCACCAGGAAAGCAACTTCTAAATATTAAAAATAGAACTAATGTTGATATAGGGGAAAGAAACTCCCAGCCTGCTAGATGTCTGGTGCAAGTTCATGTTCTCTAAAAGGGAAGAATGAATCTTAGAAACAGCAGAGGTTAAGAGCAGAATATATTTATTCTGGGGAAACATAGTTTCTGTCCGAGACAGAGACAGAAGGGGTCCCAAGTGGATAGCCAAGGACCCTGCATTTTCTAGAGATTTTCTAGAGCAAAACCATGAGGGGAGGTGGGTCCAAGGTGGGGGAAAGTGGGAAATCCCAAGAGTGAGCACGAGGTGGGACAAAACTATGGTCAGCCAATAAGATTATGAGCATAATTGCTTAGGTAATATTGATAAAATCCGGATTGAATGGGGAAGCAGGTCACATAGCAAGTGGGCATGAAATAGAACAGGGGGTTTCCTGGAGGGGGTGGCTTAGTGGCTCTTTCTGGCTTTCCCAAGGTGATTGATACCTATGCAGAATACGAATCACCGTTATTTACCCTTAGGGGAGGTATGTGGGTGCATGCCTTTCATCTTGCCTTGAGGTCTGGCTCTCAGCAGAGGTGTCTGCCCCACAGTTGCACGGTATCCCATCTTCTGCACTGGCTCCTTTGAGGGCCTAGCCCTGTCTGACTGCCGATAGTATTTCTACCTAACTTAGCTGCCTATAACAAGGTGATGCAGCAATCCTGCCACCAGGCAATGATCCAAAAGGAGTGAAACCAATCTGTGGAAGAGACAGCTGCATGGCCCTGTTTATTGTAGCACAATTCACAACAGCCAAGAAACAAACCATCCACCAACTGATGAATGCATAAACAAGCCGTGGTACATGGACACAATGGTACACTGTTCGGCCGTAGAAATGAGTGGAATCCTGTCCTTTGCTGCAACTTGGGTGGAACTGGAGATTCTTACGTGAAGTGAAATAAACCAGGTACAAAAAGGCGTGGATGCGTGTTCTCACTCATATGTACAATGAAGAAAGTTGATTATAGAAGTTGAGGGTGAGGGGTGGCTCCCAGGACCTGCAAGAATAGGAAGGATGAGGAGGAAGAACTGATTAACAGGTGCTGAGTTATAGTTAGGCAGAAAAAAGAAATTCAGGTGCTATTGCACAGTAAGTTGAATACACATAGCAATAATTTTATATATATATATATATATATATGAAAAAGCTACTGGAAAAATTATATTTTTGCTATAAACCCATGATAAATGAGATGATAGATATGTTTAACCTGACTTTATAAAATGTATACCTGTATCAAAACATCACATGCTACCCCATAAGTATATGTGATCCTTGTACTTTTATGCATCAGTTAAATACAATTTCAATTAAAAGAAAGAAGAAAAAGCTAGTAGTTATTCAGAGATACAGATGTCAGCAAATCACAAAGAAATCACAAAGAAGGCTTTTAACGGTAAGAGAAAATAAACAGAAGGCAAAGATTGGTCCTTTGTTCAAATATCATTCTTTAGTCTTATCTGGAAATGTCTTAAAATTGAACATAAAAAATTGTACTTTATGACACTTTCATGCTTCACATGTGATCAGTCCTTGATAAATGTGGCTGGTAAACAATCCCATCTATATTTGGTGCTATTTCATTATGTGTATTTACCCTAAATCTATGTAGAAACAACTCAAAGTTCCAATTTTGTGTGTGTGTGTGTGTGTGTGTGTGTGTGTGTGTGTGTGTGTGTTTGAGATAGGGTCTCACTATGCAATTCAGGCTGGCCTTGAGCTCACTTATGTAGACCAAGCTGGCCTTGAACTCACAACCATCCTTCTGCCTCAGCCTCCCAAGTGCTGGGATTACAGGGGTGCGCCACCCTGCCCAGTGAAAATTCCAATTTTAAAGAAGATTATGTTTTTTCTGTTCAGTGTGTAATTTAATCTGAATGAAAACCTTTAGGATGTCTTGGATCCTTCACGGCTGTGTGAGTTTTAGCTTGTCATTGAAACAACGCTCTCACATTTGAAGTAGATGTCTCAAGAAAGTGCAGATGCAATTCCTCTAGTTTTTTACACCACCCCGGAAGAATATTTAATGTAACTTACACAGCATGAATCTCAATCTCTTTCTCTCTGTCTGTCTCTGTCTCTCTCTCAGTTATAAAATAATGTCCATTCATTCTAACCTTGAACAGGAATTGTTAAAAAAAAAAAGAGAACACTTAAAAATCTGCAATGTTATCCCTTTTTGTAGACTGTCACTGATGTCAATAAAAAAAGAAACTCTAAAGAAACTCTGGAAAAGAAACGTTTGTACGATGTATTCCAAATACAATAAAAATCCTTAAAAGTCATTACAAAATGTCATTGATAAGTAATTTTATAAAGACAACAAAGCATCTGCTATTAACTGGCAACGACTAATACAGTAGTCAAAGCCCGTTTCTACAATAACCGTATTCTCCTGTCAACGTGAAAGAGAGGCTCGCCTCGGTTTCGGTTTCCTGGGAAAGTGAAACCTAGCTCTGGTCGCAGGCTTCTCTGGGCGGCTTCCGGCGGCCTGAGTGACGCCTCGTGAACCGCCGCCAACTGGAATCAGCCCCTCCCCCTTCCAGGATCCAAGAAGAGGCGTGGGTACTTAGCAGCGGTGCCATGGGCTCGGCCGTCCTGGGTCAGGGGCCCCCGTGTGCTCTGTGGAGACTCCTGGATCCCGGGGCTGCAGCTTCCAGCAGTTCTGAACTGTTCCTTGCTCTGGCTGTCTCGGGTCAGATTTGCTTCTTTGAAATCAAAGCTCAGGAACCATCCTCTGTTTAGCATTGCACCAAGGCAGGCACTGACGTCCCGACAAGTGATTTCCCCAAAAGAAGCTGTTGCTGGCAGTTAGAGCCTGGGTCAGGAAGCCGTTGGGAGGACCCCCGCCCTTCCTTCCGCTCTCCCCACCTGGCCCTGTTCCCTGCTGACCATAACCGTAGTTTCCTGTGAACTCAGAGCCCACCTCCTTCTCTGTATGGTGAGGACCCCCAGGCTTGACCCAGTGTGTGAATCCCTTGCCCTGAGCCCACTCCTGCCAGTCCTTCCCACAGTGGGCGTCATGCTGGGCACCATGGCTGCAGGGCAGGGACAATCACAACCTCATCCATGGCGACCAAGATAATGCTGGAGACAGCCATCGCCAGTGGGCAGAGGGGTTGCCTTGGGCAGCATGGTGCCCACTTGGCAGACTGAGTGAATATTCAGGTGGAGCCTGCTGGGGAAGAACAAAGGGGACAAGGTCCACCAAGGCCTCCGCCTGGATCTCAGCCCCACATCCTGGGGCTCTGTGTCAGTGTCCCTCTCCATTTTCTTGCTGGGCTTCTCATGTGGAGGGGAGGAGGTCAGGAGAAATCTGGCCATTGTGCCAGGTTCCCTGGGTTGGGTCACTTGCGTCATCTCCTCCACCCAAGTGTGGGGGTTCCAGCCTCTTCCCTGCAGGGCAGGCAGCTTCCAGCAGGATTCTCCTCTGGAGTTCACTGCTGCATCCAGACAGAGAGCCAGAAGTGGGGCCTTCTCCACTGGGCTGCAGTGTCTCCACGTGCAAGATGCTCACCACGTGCAAGGACTCTCCCTCTCGGATGCCCCAACCTGCGGCTGCTCTCCACCTCCTGTCTCAGAGCGGTCCTGAGCTGAGGGATGATGGGGGCGGGGTGCCAAGAGGGATGTGGATGGAGGTGAGGTGACTTCCTCAGCGACTGGACTGGCAGAGGAAGTAAAGGGCGTCTGTGTCCTCAGAGCCCTGCTCTGTCCCCAAGTCTGCATGGCAACTTGAGACACATAGGGGACACCCTAAATGGCCAGAGAAGTCCTGAAAGTAGTGGAACAAGGGGATCAGAGCAAGTGACGTTTGAAAAATAAATACTGTGGTCAAGCTACTGCCCACGGCTCAGCATAAAACTCCCAGCATTCCAAGGAAGACCTCGCTACAGGCCCTATTCCGTGGATCTTGCTAGAGAAGTTGTAAGAAATGATCCTAAGTATCCTTTGGATATGATGCTGCTGTTGCTCTTGGAAGCACAATTTAACGTTGATGAAAAGATCTGGGGGTAGAAATGGTATGCTACGTAGTTCAGCGGTTTTAGCCCTACACGAGTTTCCCTAGTATCTTTGGTACCGGGATTTACTAGTGGAAAAGGTAACCTAGGAAGGAACATTTTAAAGTTGACACTGGGGCTTCGCCTGAGAAATCGTGAAGATTCAGGGACCATACATCACTGCTTGGAGCGATTTACCTGATGGCCGCTGTGCCCTGGCACATGCAGAACATTGTCCAAGGGGGTCCTGAGCAGGTGGGTCACTCTGCAGAGACCATGGGGCCTCATCCTGCTGCAGCCTAGATGTCTCTTCCCCTGCAGGCTTGTAGGTATTTGCCTTCCACCCTCATTGCAATGGAAACTTGGAATTTCCTGTTTCTCGTTCACCTTTCATGCTGAGCCCCTGGAAACCCTACTTACCCCCAGGACACCTTTCCCTTTGCCTCCACCCTCCAGGGCCAGCTTCCTGAGCCTCTCAACACGCTGCCACCTGGTGCCCTTCCAGCAGGCCCCGGCAGCTCTCCCCCTGCCTCCTATGTTCCCTGCTGTGGCATGGAGCATGGTGTCTTGCACCACACCTATGTGGCTAAGTTCCCGTTCTTCCTGACATCATAGACTCCCGGGGGTCAGGGTGGACTCGTCCTGTCCGCAGCAGCAGCCATCGAATAGGCAAGGACTGGAGGCTTTGGGGGACGACGTGAATTTCAGCCTTTCTTTACTCTTCCCACACAGCGTGGCGGCCACTCGATCCAGTCTCTTTCCAGAGGTGCCCAGAGCTCCGCCCTAACACCGGGCACACTTTTCCTGCTGGCTTGTTTGCTGCCCTATAGGATTGTGGGCTGGGAGAGGACAACATGGTATTCGTCCTGGCACTTAGGGCCATCGATAGGGCAACCTGAGGACTCTGAGGTCAGTGGTTCACTGTGTCCATCTCTCTCCTAGCAGGAACCTCTTGTCAAGCCAGCATTAAAGAAGGGAGTAAACCAAGGCCCACAGAAAGCCCAAGGACAGCCCTGGACCATACAGCCCATCACTTCCTGCCTGCTGATCGTGCTCGGTCCACCTGCCCTCCCCGGGTGTTCTCCAGGACAAGGCTGGCTTGGAGAACTGGGAGGTCTCAGCCTCCGAGGCGCACAACCCCCCAATCAGAAACACGAGGAGACAGGAGGCACATGGGCACGCGGCCTTTATTCCTCATCTTTCTCTGATCTGAGTGAGGGTTTTGTAGGTTCCACTCAGGACACGTTTTATCCCGGCTGGATCTCTTCAAGCTTAGGATCCAGTTGAATTCCCCAACAAGGCCCCCACAGTGGCCCCAATGGAGCCCAAAATCATGTTGGATGATGCAGAGAGTCCAGCTGCCCCTGGGGAAGAGACAGGCGGTGAGTACAGGGGTAAGAGGTGGTGGACCCCCCATTCCTTTGTGCAACCCCCAGGACTCTGCTTTGGACAGAGGAGGCTGAGAGAGCGAAGACTGGCTGAGTTCCTGGGAACTGAGAGCTACCAGGTACCAACCTTCCACAGGGGAGGCTGCTGAGGCCCAGAGGGGGCAGGGAGCTGCTCAGGTCACCCAGGCTCCAGATTCTGCCTGGGCTGAACCCAGAGCCGAGGCATCCGGCACCCTGACACGGTCTCCTCCGTACCCAGCACCTCCTCAGCCTTTTAAATCAGCCCAAACTCCACTCAGAAGGATCCAGATTGTAGGGAAGGCGACGGGGAGACAAAGAACCTGGCAAATTTAGGATCTAGGAATTTCGGAGGAGGGAGAGCCAGGGGAGAAAGGGGCCTCTGCGCGGCTCAGACTCTGGCTCAGGTCCTCACCTGCTCTGGTCCCCCCATCGGGTCACCTACCGATGGACTGCAGGGTGGCCACTACGCCGCCCGCCGCGACCCCGCCCCCGTTGGCGATGGCTGCCGCTGACATCATCTTGGCCGCCAAGGAGGAAGCTGCGATCCCGGTTGCCGTGAAGCCCATGCCAGTCAGCACCAGGGGCGCAGTGCCCAGGGCCACAGCTGCAGGGAGAGGGAAGGGCGGTCGGTGTGGGCTGGGTAGGGACTCGGACTCCCCTACAGTTTCTGCGGACTGCGCTCTGAGCTTGGCGCGGCGGGCCCTAGGCTTTTAAGGAAAGTGGGCATGGAGTACAGGGGTAAGAGGTGGTGGACCCCCCACCCCATTTCAGGTGGGGACGAAGAAGTAGGGGACGAAGAAGTCTCAGGACGACCGGGCATGGACCGCGCTGGTTTGTCTCTAGCCTGCTGCGTGACGCTGCCTAAGTCCCTAGCCTTCTCTGGGTCTCGGGATGCAACGGTGCAATTATACAGGGTAAACCCGTTTGGAGCACCACCCCCATCGCCCCGGGACGCGATCCCTGCATCCCGGAGCAGCTCCCGGGCGAGGCTGGGCGTCTCTAGGTCTCTTAGCCAGCGGGGTCCGGAGACGAACCTCCTCCGACGACCGCGGCCAGCAGTGCTGGGGAGAGAAGAGCGAGAGAGAGGCTCTGGTTAGCGGGGGAAGTGGGTGCGGGCGCCCTGCAGCCACGCGTGGAGCCCCCCTCACCCCGAAAGGGAACTCACTGGTCATGGCGAAGGCTTGGTCGCGCAGCTCGGGAATGGAGCTCCGCGTGGTCGTGGTCCCCTCCCCAGCTCTCTGGACAGCGCCGCCCCTCGCCGCGCGCAGCGCTCCGCCCTTGCGCATGCCGCGCGGGGGATGCAGAAGGGGACGCAGCGGGGACGGGGCGGGGACGGGGCGGGGACGGGGCGGGGCCTCCCCGCCCCCGGCCTCCCTCCCCTCCCCCACAAAGCCTGTCTTTGGGAAAGTAAACCATATTCTTTTCTTCTCCTTTCTGTGCCTCCTGGTTATCATCTCCTCAAGAATATTTATGACAGATTTTGGAGAGCTACGAACATAATGGAACGCGCGACATTCTCAGATGGTTTGTTTTTTTCACGTCCCCCCCTCCCCCCGAGTTCCTCCTTTAACAGTGGAGATTGAACACAAGAGCCTTCGCCCTGGGCTGCATCCCCAGCCCTTTTTAATTTTTATTTTTATTCTGAGACAGGAGCTTGACAAATCGCTAAATTGCCCAGGCTGGGCTAGAACTTGCGATCCTCCTGCCTTGGCCTCCCAAAATGCTGGGATTGCAGGCATGCACCGTCACGCCTGGCTTCAACAAGACTTTCAGAGTCAAATTTATTGAGGTCTGATTTACAGTTGACCCAAAATAAGTTGGCCTTTTAGCGCACACTTCTATGAGTTTGGACGAACTTTTGCAGCTATGGAATACCTCCCCAGCTCGCCCCTCCGAAATTAGCTGGCTTCTTTGTGGTCGCCCCTCCCCCACTGCCACCACTAATCTGCTTGCAACCTTTATACGCACCTGCCTTCCCAGAACTTCACCACCTTTGGCATGAAGTATTCTCTCCTGTGGATGTGCTGTAGCTCAACGCATCGGCCTTCTTTTCTAAGGGTCTAAATTTTACTTTCTAATTTTTGTTCTTACGAATTCTCTTGGCATGAAAGGCTCACGTCATGTTCTGTGATAATATATCCCTAGAGGTGGAATTGCTGGGTCAGAGACTGAACTTCCGTGCGTTGGATACTCGTGGGCGGCTGTACAGCGCATAGGCAGCGTTTATTGCAAAATGATAGGCTTTTCAGAGCGCGTGAGGATACACCTTCAAGCGACAACGGGACAGTTGCACCCAATTAAGGCTCAGGCTACCTTTCTGTAATTAAGTGGGTGTTCAGGCATACCGCTTCTTCCTCTGGTGTCGTTGTTCTTTTGCAAGGAAAATGGACTGTCCTGACCAACTTCAGAGAGAAGATTCCTGCCGACTCTCAATGCTTCCATTTACTTTTGAGATCTTGACGTTTTCCTTAAACCCCCTCACCTGGGTGTGGAAGTTGTAAGGGCCCTGAACCTTATCAGACCGCTCAAAGGTTATATACTTTTGAGCTGAAGTTTGAAACCATAAGCACATTGGATTTTACCTATAACTGATGGTTTACAAAATGAAGGAAAGGGGGGAAAATCACGTCTCCTTTGCTTTTCAGGGAGCACCCAAACGCCTGAGTCCAGTCCTGCTAATGTCTGATTTTCTGCCTAACCCTAGCTATTACGTTGCTCTTCCAAAATAGTATATCAGTGTGTCCTCTCTCAGAAGTTTGTGGGAGGACCTATTTCTGTCTACTCCTGACCAATTTTGTCTTTGTTTTTGTTTTTTTTTTGTTTTTCTCCGGTACCAGGAGCCGAACTCACGACCTTGCGCTTGCCAGGCAGGCTCTTTGCCGCTGAGCTAAATCCCCAGCCCCTAAATTTTGTCATTTTTTAAAAAAAGTATTCGGTGGGGCAGGGGAGATAGCTCAGTGGCACAGCACCTGCCTGGCAAGTGCAAGGTCCTGGTACAAAAACAAAACCCCAAAAAACAAAAAACAAGTGTTTGGTGGCTCAAGGTATAGCTTGGTGGAAGTATCTTCTCTAACATGCAGGAGGTTTTAGCTTCTATCCCTAGCACTCCAAAAACAAACGTAAGTAACACCCCCAAAAAACTGTTTTGTTGCTTGAATAGGTGAAAAATTGTCTTATTTTAATTTATATTTCATTTTACCACTAGTGAGGCTAAACTATTATTTATTAGGTGTATACAGTCCTTCTTTTGTGAGTTATCTTCTCATGTTCTTGGGCCTCTTTTTCTTGGAGTATTTTATTCTAATTAATATATAGGAATTAAACAATGTAGTAACAGTCTTAATCTATTTTTATTTTAAAGAGTAAAAGAAGGATAACAATAATGGGGTGGGCTTACCAAATTACAGACAAAGTGGTAGGAAATTATCAATGGTTATTGTTTTACATATTGTTATCTACAAGATAGTTTCTCAGGAAAACAAATAGACAAATAATAGTGAGTTCCAGACAAAAGAGGTAGGAGATTATCAATAGTT